GGGGGGGCGATGAATGGGCTGCCTGTGAGGTAGTGAGGTCCCTGTCATTGCAAGGGCCCAAACCAAAGTGAAATGGGCTCTAGGGAGGAAGCCCTGGTTTAGCTCAGACATAGGCCTCGCTGGGCTGTGGTCCAGTTGGGTAGGAGGTTGAATTAGGTAAGAGAAAGGGCCTTGGGGTAGGGCAGCGAGCCAGACTTCCACCCTGGCTGGGTGACGCCGGGCTGTGCAGAGACAGCATACACAGCACCGTCCCTGCGGCAGACACCAAGGAGTCACCACATGTACCTGGCTGGGCCTGGATTTGGCCTCAGAACTTTCCCAGAACTACAATGTAGGCGGTCACTACCAGAGAATTTGACCTTGGTGCGGGAGACAAACCCAAATCCCTTCGGCTTTCTCCTTAGTAGAAAAGACCCAGCAATCCCTGTCCAGCTACATCAGGGCTGTAAGAATAGGTAAGATAGTTTGCAAACCCTGAACGGGTGGCAGGAGTGGAAGACAGCCTGGGAGAAAGGACAGGTAGCAGCAATACCCCGTGGAGTTCTGTGAACCGCCGGAAGCTATGGACGAAGTGCATGCACAGCTGGACTTTGAAAACATGACGCTCCTTGAGAAAAGTACAAACAAGATGCTATTTTATGTTAGAAGTCACATAAAATAAAAACACATGCCTGCGATGCAGATTAGCAGTACAGAGTCTGCAATACACATGAACAAAAAGATGCACATGAAAATATCGGAATCGCTGCTCCCTGGGAGGAAGAAGAGTGTGAGGAGGGAAGCCCCTGACCCATGACCCCGGAAGGACCATTTCTGTGAATGGAGAAGAGAAACCCACTCATCCCTGTGCATCTGGAAGAAAGGAAGGAAGAAGCAACGGCGGGTGGGAGGAAGGAGGCATCCCACCGTGTGGCTGCTGCACTCCGCCCATCCCGGTGGGCTGCTCCCCTCCCCTGCTTCCCTCTGTACCCACCCCACCCTGCGTGCCCACCCCACAGCTGGCATG